GGGGGGGGGGGGGGGGGGGTCCAAAAATCGTATACTAGGAAATTACCGGGCTACTTCTTTCTCGTTGAATATCAAATTAATAAATTATTTACCTAATCCTCTAAGAATACCGAGACATTGATCCCTTGAATAATCCAGCTGGAGTGGCCACATTATTCATTCATTCATTCTATCCACGCTTTTACAGTATTCATCCTTTCCACGCTGTATCAGTATTCATCCAATCTTGCGAACCATTTTGAAAATGTTTAGATAGGATCATTTTTCACTTAAAATCATCAAAGTTTGATGAAAAATACACTTTCCACAATATTTCCCTTAATTCCACATTTATAAATTCCTCTCTTATATGGATTCAGTTCTGAAAATAAAATAAAACAATGTTTAGGCGTCATATAAAACTCCTCTCATACATCTACAACAATCATATTCAGTGCAGGGGATTATTCAAAATAAATTTCAATAATTATATTTGAAAAGCGTACAATAGGATATTACCGTACACTTTCCAGATCTGAAATTGAGTCTTTTAAGAACACCTGAAAATCGCGGATAGTAATTGTGGAATCTATTAGGTTTCTGGCTTAGAATGTTTGTTGAAGAGCAGCGTGGATCCTGTGGATCCTTGTATAGGATTCAGGAAAACTTACAAATTCAACAACGCCACGCTCATGATGTTTAAAACTGCTAACCAACCCAACAATAGTCTTTTAGATTTAATCGTCAGGGTATAGCGAAGTGCCCTGAGGTAGATGCTTTTTTATTATCTACAACAGATTTATTTTGCAGGATTTTTATCACTTAATAATAAATTGAATTTTACAATGCAGATTATGCCGCCAAACCCCAAACTTTCAGATTTTCCATTGCAAAATCGAGAATTTATTTTATTATTTTAAAACGGTAATTACAAATTCGAACTTTACTATTCGCCACAACATCATTAATACCTTAACTCAGCCTATAATTCCAAATAAAAAGAGAAATTGGAAAATTAACTTTTTAGTTGCCATATTTCTTAAAAGTCAAAGTCACCTGACCTGGGACCAATGGGAGACAAGTATTTCGACCAATCAGAGGACAGAATTGGTCCGGAGAACTTTGCCGCGGTTCAAACAAAGATTTCGAGGGAAAATCGTTAAAATAACAAATAAGGAAAGGGAATAAGAGGACTAAGATGGACGATGTACGTTGAGCAGCGTTTAAATTGAAGAAACCTGCTTAGGCGGTACTGGCAAATATGGGCAAAACTGTAAGGTGGCAGTCGGAAAAATAAAAATGTTAACAAGTCCATCCTCTCTTCTTGCTATTTGTCAAATTTTCTAAATATACTGTTGAATTCGTTGAAAACCAATTGGGCGGCTTCGAGTAAAAGATATAGGTAGAGGGGGGGGGGATCTAAACTCCCCCCCCCTTTGAATCTTATAAAAAATGTAACCCCCCCCCCCCTCTTCTATATTGCTAATAAATTCTATTTACCCGACTAAAATTTGTAATTCTTTTACTTTCGAACTAACGTACTTTTGCACTGAAGTCAGCTGATCAGTAACACTGTAGCCGCAGCGCCCGGCCCCCTAGCCACGGCGCTCGGCCCCCTAGCCACGGCGCTCGGCCCCCTAGCCACGGCGCTCGGCCCCAAAGCCGCAGCGCTCGGCACAGAAATTGTCTTAACCTAACCTAACCCTCAAAAAAAATGTTATTCCGAATGAACAAGTGCAAATGTACGTTAATCCGATCAATCATTAGTGCAAACGAAACGACACCCACCCTTCTTCCAATTAACGATAATTTAGTTTTCTTGAACCGCTTGAAAAAAAGGCATTTAAAACAATGGTGTCCAAAATTGAGGCAAGCCTCTCTGGGTGCATCGCTATTGTTTCCAGATTGAACAACCTGTCGATGACCTGTTCCAGGCTAGAAGCCCATAAGAGTAACAAATTGTTACCGCCTATGGTTTAAACCAGTGGAGTACTTGAGGATTTCCTAAAGGAAGGAGTGAAGGCTACGACCTTTACCCCCAAAATCCACTACATAATACATTCCAGCCCTTTTTATGATTTAATTCAAACTATGGGTTTGATTTAAATCCAACAAATCTGTCAAATAAAGACTTCCTGTCCTCTTATCGCAGCTTTTACCTTTCTAGTAGTCACTTCTCACATTAACAATATTTGTGATTTGTAAAAATAAAAAGGATCAATTTCTATCATTTTATAATGTAATAAATAATATTCGCTTTAACGAGGAATTTTTTTTTACTTTTTCAAATCCTCATATTACTGTTAATTATCATATGTTGGAAAAACCTATCTTTTTATTAACATACATCGAATTGTTATTGTCAATACAAGAAATGTTAATTTTTTTGAAAGTATTGACATTGACTGTTGCATTAAGCGAATTAAGCGCTGCATAGTTTCTCAGGGTCAAAATTTAGTACAGTGTAAAAAGAACAAATGTTTTCAAAATGTTTAATTTTTTACCATCCATACATTTCTTACACTTAGCCAAATTTAAAAAAAATATGCAAAAAAAAGAACCACAAACCGATCAATGAACTAAGGTCGATCATTGATACTTTGTACTTTTTAATGATACAAATATTTTGAAGTATAATAAAACCAAACTTTAATAGAATACAGCTAGTTCAGCTACATGGGCATCATAATAGAGAGATCTATAGCCGCAGGGATCGGCCCAGAATTTATGGTAACCTAACATAAGTCTTGAATGTATAAGAATATATTATACAAGTTTACGTTTAAATACTTGAAAATTGATTAGAATATTTTCTAAGATTGTAGTTTAACAAATATTTGTTCAAAATTGACGTATATGGCCGATAAAACGTATATATTGTTCACCAAACAGAGTTTTTTTGTTCTGTTCTCGATAACCTTTACAATCCCGGATAATGATAAGGAAAAACTAAGGTACGTGAAAAGATAGCATCATAATCTCATTCTGTGCAGATGACAGGATTTTAATAGTTACGATAAAACACAATTTATTTAAAGCGTTATTTCAAGTGACTCTCCATGCTAAGATAACAATGTCCGAATCACAACGATACCCCTGATCAATAATGTGAAAAACATGGTTACTTTTTAAAGGGTTACAACTTACAACTGATATATTCTGAAAACTCTTTTTTTCATTCTTTTGTCGGGAAACCAAGATTAAATCAGTTTTCAAAATTAATAACTCACGTATTTAATTCATACTTAAAACAAAGCTGTTAAGGGTACCATTGTGAATCAGGCAGTGTAAGCTTAGCATAGAGAATCACCGGAGATTACGCTTATAGTCCCTTGAAGTTTGGCCTTTTAAATCTATACTCATATTCCTTCACTTTTCTAACTTAAAAAACAAGAAGTAACAGTTAAGTCTGGTTTATTCTATATATTACAGTTCACGTCAACTTAACCAAGTTTGTAAAAAAATAATTTTGCAGTTTCCAAGTTTTGTGTACAGTCCCTTTAAAGGAACAAACGGACTCGTTAGGCCTCCCCATCTCCGTGAATAAACACCGGATAGAGTGGACCTGACTCGAGTTATGAAAAAAGGAATAGTTAAAAAATGCCCGAAGTAGGTTAATTACCCAAAAAATAAATAAACAAAAAAAATGAATTGAAGATAACAAACGACAGCATTTCTTGAAACTATTTCATACTTGAAGCTCTTTTATATTCAGGTTCGGAGCAACATGTACACGCGTACAGCACACTACAGTAAAGTACAGTAGACTTTATTTTTGATCTAGCTTAGTTGGACATTTCGCATCTTTAATCGACTTCCACCAGACTGAATGAATTTTTTCGTGGCATATTTTCTGGGACACCATTTTACCAGACGTGAGAGACAACCAGGATATAGAGGATTGTAGGAGAGTTGGAGGAAATAAAGAATTTGTTCTTCTCAACAGACAAGATTTAAGATCAGGTTATTCATCACTACTAGCCCCCATTCGTAGCTTTTTAGCCGGAGGCCCAGAGGGAACCTCGGAGTCTTTTTGTTCAGATAAGGCTGAAGAGGCTGTTGTGGAGGATGAGGAACCTGAGGATCCTCCGGCGGAGGCCAGATCACTGGCGGCGGAGGGATCGATAATAACATCCTTAACGGAGAAGAGTGAGGGTTTGAATCTGACGATTACAGCGGTCATGTTGTCGCAGCCGGTTCCGTCTCCGTGGGTATCTGGGGCCAAACAGTGCTCAAACAACTAGAAAAAAATCATTAATTTGATCAATATTGATATTTTATTCTCACGCCAAAGATACCCTTCAATTTTACCATTTAAGATTGCACCCCTTAAAAAAATCTTTATATTTGAATTTGCAATTTGCTGAAAACTGGTCCCTGCTATTTTAACTACTTAGAATTTAGTTTGATTCAAGGTAAAATATTCCGTCTCAATATTTATATTTTGTGATCGGTTTTTATTAACTTTATTTTCTTCCAGGACTAAGACAATGTATGCACTTTTGTATTAAAGGCTTCAATTCAACTTTCAAGGCTGATATTATGAAACCTTATTGATATGTTTGACAAAAAAATGTTTGTTTTTCATTAGTAAATTATCTTGTAAAAACTAAAAGCTGATGAGAAAAATTAAATTCAGGAGATTGAGCAGAGAAACTTCACAACATGAAGCAGATGAATTATTTAAAATATTATTACAACTAAAAGTTAACTGTTAATGTATTAAAGATACTACCTCCTCACAGATTGATGTTAGCTTATCATCCGGTGTATTTTTTATTCTCTCGTCCACATAGTCAACCACCTCCTGGCTCGTCATGAAGTTCCAGATTCCGTCGCAGGCAAGGATCATCCAGGAGTCCTTCTCCGGGTCCAGCTCCAGTATACGGACATCTGGTTGGGAGCTGATCATCTGATCCATCAAGGGAAGTGTCTTGTTTTGCTTGTACGCATGATCACCTAAATTTTGTTATAAAATGTAATTGAATTAAATAGAATAAAATAGAATAGAATAGAATAGAATAGAATAGAATAGAATAGAATAGAATAGAATAGAATAGAATAGAATAGAATAGAATAAAATTAATTGATCAACTCGAGTTCTACTTTTATATTCACTTCAAATATTAATCATAATCATTAATCAAATCATATTTTTAAACAAAGGCGACACCTTGTAGTGGTTTGTAATTTTGAACAATTTATTTAAAATATTTATGATTTCTGCGTGAGAAATAATAGAATATTTTTGCACAAGGTAAGTATACCCTGTTCTATACAGGACACAGCTGTTTATATTTTGCAGGATCCCCCCCTGGCGGAAAATAATATTTTTGATGATTTGAGGGCCGGGTGGGGGAACGAAAAATTGGGCGTTGGAGGAGGAGAATTTTTTTTTAGCAAAAAAACACCCCTGGTTCAATAATAAATACCTATGGCTCTGGAGAGATTAAGTCCTCCGTTAACTCTTCCGTCCGAAGTAACTTTGCCTCCGGCAGCAACAATGCGTTTCAGTTCAGGTTTATCTTCAGGTTTGTGATCGAATGACATCTCCATAGCCTTCCCATCCCGACACACCACACATCTTTAATACGAAGTTTCAAATCTTTGCAGGGAATGCTCTCATCCTAGGCACGCCCCCCCCCCTCCCCCTGACCCCCCTTTCAGCTATATATAAATTTGGCTTGTCTGTCTGTTTGTTTGTTTGAATCCCATAAACGTCAAAACGGCTGAACCGATCGGGCGCACATTTTTTGAGGGACATCACGTGACCACAAGGAAGGTTTATGAATGATAAAAATTCTAAAAAAATGTGTTTTAAAGGTTTTTAATTTTGTAAAAAAAAATTAAATTCTTGAAAATCCGCGAATTTTTTTTAAAAATCCGCAAAAATTTTTTCTTTCTTTTAAAATGTAAACAAAAAGAACATGTTCACAATTTAAATAGAAGATGGGCGCAAGCCTAGTAAAAACTATATTTTGTTTACTCTCCTACAAGTTGAGATGATTTTGAGGAGTTTCTTGCTTTTTATTTGGTTTTGGAAAAAGATCGAAATAAAAAGAAATTCAGAGCAAAAAATATCAAAATAATGCAAACGCTTAGTACAAATCTTCAAGGGGAAATTTACTGAAAAAAATAAAATAAAAGCCTTTTTATTTTGAATTGAAATAAATCCTAAGAAAACACTTTTGAAACTTCTTGGAATTAAATAAAGAATCTTTAACCAATTATTGACATCTTTAAACAATTATTGACATGACTAGAAAACAGGAAAAACAATCTTAAAGAACAGTAAAATCTTTTCTCACCTTGAATCTCCGGCGTTGGCAACAAAAAGTTTGGTTCCAGCAAGAAGAGCAATTACAGCTGTACAACCAGAATCATTCCCAGGCTCCTCAGTGAACCCATCCATCATCACCTCACCGTCCTCCTCCTCCTCCTGGGGTAAAATAGATCAGATGTGCCCATCAATCACTTCTGTCCCAACTATCCCTCCCTCCCATCCCTCCTTCCTACTCTCCTGTTCTAGGGAGATAATCTGGATAATCTGTTTTCTCATTAGTCAAATTCATGAATTTTAACAAGCAAAGGAGTGGATAAACTTAACCGATCTCATTTGGTTTAAATCTCATGGAGAAATCGGTTAATCTTCACTCGAAAGGAGATAAGAGTTGAACCAATTCCGGTCATTTGAAAGTTACCTCTTCGTCCTCAACCTCACTATCATCTTCATCACAGTCTTCACAATCCTCCTCCCCTTCCTGGTTCTCCTCTTCATCCTCATCCTCATCGTCATCGTCATCAGAACCAACTTCTACACAGGAATTAATAATTGATAATTTTACAATTTTGATCAAAAATTCACCTACTCAAATTTGTTTTTACTCTCTCTCCATTAAAAGTGGAAGGCTCGATTTACACCGGTACCCTTGAAATCTTTATCTGAGCAACAATGACAAAGATATCGACAATTTTCTATCTTAAAAGTGTGGAATTCTTATAAATACGTTATGGAAAGAAATCCAGAAGTCACTTTATATAAAAAAGAGAAAATTTTTATAATTTTTGCCCAGACAGATGCAAAGGGTATTTTTTTATGTTAATTGGACATGTCTCTAATTAAATGCAGTGTCAATGAAAAATACGTCTCTAGTCCCTTAACATGTGTTAAACCATTAAACAAATTCAGATATTTTAAGGTTGATTTTAAACTAGTGAAACCAAAACTAGAAATAAATCAGAAATGTGAAATCAATCATTATTTTTGCTTGCAATTAATTCAAGTTCCCGTTACACATTCCCAATAGTTTAGAACTGAACTCCGTTTCTTAACCATAAACAAAATAAAACTTTTTTTTTGATTAATTTTTAACTAATTGCAAGAATGAGAAAAAACTATCATATATCTATTCAATTCAAATCTTTTTATAAGCATGAAGACTACCTGCTCCGAACTCCTCGTCCTCACTGTCCTCATCGTCCTCGTCACCGGACTCAGGACTCTCCTTTAACAAGGACGAGTAGATCTCACTAGCAGTTTTCTTCCGCCGTTCAGCTACCGTCTCCGCCACGGCTTCAAGAAACTCCGCCGCCTGGAGCTTCGATACAAGCTTGCTTGATTTACCCTTGCCCTTACCTTTCCCTTTACCCTTAATGTCTTCAGTTTTATCTTCACTAGGTTTAGTTTCTGAACAGTTTGTATCTTTATTCTCCTTTTCACTTCCTTCAGGACTTCCCTCCGCTTCTTCCTTCTCCCCGTTCACTGGGGTGGACGGACTTCCCTCCGCCTCTTCCTTCTCCCCGTTCACCGGAGTGGACGGGGTTTCACTTTTCTTCTCTCTATTATCTCCGTTTACTCCGTTCTCTTTGGTTTCCTTTCCATTGGTCTCCTTCACCCCGTTCTCAACTACAGCGTCTCCGGCCTCGGTGAACCTGATGTGCTTGTTGAGGCCAGAGGCGCCCTCACCAATCCCTTGTGACTTGCCTCGAAGGAAGGGACTGATAGGCTTGCCTTCTTTCTTCTTCATCCCGACGATCAGAGGGTTCAAGGCTTTAGCAGGTTCACCGTCAGTATCTGATAGAAAATAAATAAAAAATAAAACTCAAATTCAAGAGGTCGTCTTAAGGTAATTAATCATAAAAAACGAAATTCAATTTTAAGATATGAGCACTGTGTATATTATCTTAATAATTTCAAGTCGGGGGTGTATATATTCTTGAACCCCCACCCCCCGTAGTAAGGGTATTTTTTAAGCCTCTGAATTTGGGAAAATAGATAATTATTAATGTGGAAAATAGTTAATTTAAGGAAGAAATAAATAAGTTTTGGGGAAAAAAGAATCAAAGAGGATCAAAAAAACTTTTAATCTTCTTCCCTTTTATCCCCCAAATCAATTATCCAACCCTGTAATATTGATTTTTATACCTGAATTATATTTCGCAATGACATCTTCAATCGGCATAGTTGCCTCTTCACACAAATGGTTTATCTCCTGCTCGTCTTCCTCCTTTAACAACAAATCATAAATCATTTTTCTCTCTCAAAATAACATGACAGAAAAAATATCAAAACTTTTGTTCTGGATAATTTGAATGTTGATACAGGTTGGATACGAATGTTGGGCCTTCCAAAAACATAAATTTTCTAAAAAGTAAAACCCTTTAAATCCCATCAAATAACTATGATTCTCCAATTAAACTTTATTAGATAAATATTTTGACAGTTTTAAAATTGCTCAAGAACAAGAATGGCAAGAGTGATTTTAACCTTTTCACAGTACCATTTTATTCCCACGAAGAAAATAAAATTAAAATATGATGACAAGAATTACAATAGAAAAGATTGCATGATCTGTACCCAAAATTATTAAAAGAAAACAGGAGAAAAAGTAATTTATCATCCCCATGTAAAATGTATTTAACGCATCATATGTGTAAAACAAATTTTAAAAGTAAAATTGATTATTGTGTTATCTTCCTTTTGGTCTGGATTCTGAATCTGTTTGAGTTCACTGACAACCTTCCTGTCCACCAATGTAGCGTCGAATGCGATAAAGGACTCCTCCAGGGCCTTCTCATAGTTTCCACATTTATAATTGGGATTCTAAATATCAACAAAATCTAAAGTTATCTGAAAATGTTCTAAAAAACGCAAATTTCTGAAGCCACTGAACAAAAAATAAAAACGCTAGGACTATATATATAGGTATAATTGTTTCACTAGGTTGAAAAGTGATAAATTATAACAATTTCCTCCATGGTTTCTGAGGCCAAAAATTCGCAAGTCACTTTGGAGAAACTCCAAAATAATATCACGTGATACCTATAAATACATGCTTTATCAGACAAAGCTTTAAAAAGGTACTGTCTAAGATACCCCTCAATAAATGGAAAATTATTTAAAATTTTGCATATTTGTATATTTTAAACAATCCGAATAAAAACTCAATGCGAGAATTTCTATGATTTCAAAGAAAGAAAACATTTCCCAAATTTTTTTGATTAAGTTCCTGTTTAATATAGTTCGGTAGATACAGACTGCAGTATTCAGCAACCTCGTGACCTCCGTGCCCATCGTAAACCGCAAACAGACTCTTCCCCTCGTCGAAACTGATTATTGAGTTATGGGCATCCTTAAATATATTAAGTTAAGATTTATTTTATCAGTTCTTTCCTTCTTTGTTATATTTTAAACCCCAATATTCAGCATTAATCAATCAAATCACATTATATTTACAAAATTAACCATAGAATCTTCTAAAACAAAAGTTTTCGCTCCGCTCAAACATTTTGTATAAATGATCAATTTGTGTGTTTTCAGGGGTTGATTTTTTTCTAAAAAATCATTTGAGCCTTCACCACTCCCACACATGAGGGCAAATAATTTTTTAAAGTTTTTATTCGCTAAAAATGAAAAAATTGAGAATTTTTATGCAAAATGTATCAAATGGGTAAAATCTTTCATGATGTCCCCCCCCCCCTGGGGATACCGTAACATTTATAGTCCAGTGTTAAATAAGCTAAATTAATCGCAGTCCAGCACAACTATAACTGAACTACAAACCAATACCTCTTGACTGACTCTCCAGCCCTGCATAGAGCTTGCTCCGTATGCCAGGTGTTCCCCTTCCTCTCCAGTAGACTCCTTCTCCTTTATAGGTTCTGACAAGTAGGCGCCCATTTTGCCTGAAACCAGGAGGAGTTTAAAGGAACGGTTTGGGAAAATGAAAGGGTTACAAAATTGGCAATAATACTTTCATTTTTCGGGTACATTTCCTTTATAAATTTCTAATTATTTTAAACCAAAAAAGCACAATAATAAGTTACACCTAATTTGTATCACAAGTAATAATAAAACTTACCAATAAAATTTACAACTAACGAAATTATTAAAAATTTAAAATTCTATGATGAAATACTACAGAAAGCAAAACAACTAAATGCATCAATTATTAAAAAAATTTCATTTTCAAGTCATAAATCAAAATTTTCAATCTATATATAAATTTAGCTTGTTCTGTCTGTATGCTTGTTTGTATCCAAAAAGCATCAAAACGGCTGAACCGATCTGGTCTAAATTTTGCGTGGGACCTTACTTGGCCCAAGGGAAGGTTTATGGCCAATCAGACTTTGAATATGTAATCTTGAAGTATTTTTATCTAAAATTATTTAATTTTGTCAAATTTTGAAACAGCACGAATATATATTACTAGAAATTCAAGGCGCTTCGCGCCCTTCTTTCTAGCCTTAGAGGGCGCTTCGCGCCCATCTTCTAAATTAATTGTAAACATGTTCTCTTTGTGTACATCGTAAAACTAAACAAAAATAATTCGCGGATTTTTACAAAAAATTTCGCGGATTTTCAAAATTTTAAAAAATTTAATGACGATCGAATTTTGATAGAGACAAATATTTGAAATTTTGATGATTCTTAAACCTTCCCTGGGCTCCCTAGATGTCCCACAAAAAATTTGGGACCGATCGGTTCAGCCGTTTTGACGTTTATTGGATACAAACAAACAAACAGACAAACAAACAGACAGACAAACAAGCCAAATTTATATATAGATGAAATCCGCAAATTTTCAATTCTTTTACCGTACAAAGAGAAGATGCTCACAGATAAAGCGAAAATTAAAGGTTTAAAGAGAAGATTGGCGCGAAGCGCCCTAAAAGCCTAGTCACAAACAGGCTTACTGTGTTAACGTTATTCTGTATTTAATGTACGGTAGAGTGTACTTAATGAACTCCTGGTTTTGGTTGCTATCTTTTAACATCTCTATCTTCATCTTTTCGCTGTAATCCGCCAAAATCTGATTCCTGTTGAGTTTCTTCTGTTTAAGCTCTTCATCCAACAATCTGTATTTGCTGACAGCTGATTTGTAAGCAGTCTGGAGCTGCTTCAATAGATCTGCTGACACCAGGTTGGGATTAAATTTAGAGTTGTCTGGATCATGTTTACACTTCAACCTGACAGCTCTAGCTTCCTCGGCAACCTTGATAAACTTATCAACGACCTTGAGAGCGTTGGGCGACATAAACCTTAGTATTTTATATAAATCATTTATCTGATTTACAAAAAGATCAGGATAACTTTCCTCAACACCTTTCCACTTGTAAATCTCTTGATTAAAAACCAAAACTATTCCTTCCATGGAATTCTGAATCAATAGATTCGTATATCCTTCAATGGCATTTTCTAAAGACAACTGTTTCTGTTCTACAATGCTGGTGATTCCAACGCTCAATAATATTTCTCTAAGTTTCTCGTTGAACAGAAGAATTAAATATTTCTGTTTAGTTTCTGAATTTTCTTGAACCATCACGTTAAATCCTAGGTTTATGAGCGTTTTCTTTGCTCGAGATATCTGAGTGTCATCTAATTTCTCATCAAAGACGACCCCGCATCCAAATACTTGCAGTTTGCCTGCTTTTAATCCTTTCTTCTTATATCCATAAATATCCTCCTTGTTGGTCGCAGTTCCCTGCTGTATAAGTTCGCCGTACACCAGACACTGTACTGTCAACATGGGATACATAGAGCTAAACCTGTTTTCTAACTGTTCCAGGTTAGGTAGGAGACTATATACTTGATTCAGCTTCACCCCAGAAAATTTGTACTTTGACAAAGTATCAGAATCTGGTCTGTTCAGAAGTACAGTACGTCTGGATGAGATGACCCCTCGACTTGATAAAGCAAGATTTGAACCGTCTAGTTTCTCTGATACAAAAGGCCGCTGACCTAACAGAGAAGTAAAAGAAAACGACTGAAAAATATGTTTTATTTCAGGCCATTGGTTGGTAAATAGAGAACCAGGAGCACTGTTGGTTGCTTTATCAGTCGGTGGTGAAGTTTTCTTTTTAGTCGGTTTTCTACTAACTCCAATCTTTTTTTTTGTAACATTATTTTTGTTTTTCCCTTTCGATTCTCTATTTTCTTTTCCAGACAAATTCATTCCTTCTTTATTCCTTATTTCTTTTGTTTCTGCTTCAAGAGGCACAGTAACAATGGGCACCAGGGATCCAGACCTTTTAAATATAAATTTATGTTCTTCATTCTCGTTTCTCGGGAATTTTTCCTTTTTGGCTGAACTTTGAGGGGTTTCCTCTTTACCTGGACCTTTCCTTTCAGAATTCTTTCTTTTTTGAAAACTTTTCCTGGTACTAGAGGGCCGACTTTTTCTTCTACCCTTACCCCCCATTAGGTGTGATAAAGTTGAAGTGAACCAATTCCTGAGTTCTGGTGGTAGATCTTTCTCTAGCCTCAGCTGTTTTATGGTGGAGAACAAAGCCAGGTCTGCTATACCTAGAGTATCACCAGATAAATAGGATGTTTTGCACAGGCGATCTGCTAGAGGTCTGAGTAGAGATTGTCGGTTCTTAGGACTACTCCACAACAGACTTGTCACGTTATCAAGCAGACTATCTATTATTGCAGTAGAAGTAGAGGTCTCATAAGAGAATATAGTTGGAAATATTCTTGCAAAGAATCGGATGAAGTTCACTTCTCCTCGGATTAAGCTTTGTGAGATAGGTGACACCATAAGTTCACAATCTCTACCAACTTCTTTCCAGATCAGAGTTATCTTCAGGTTGGCCTGTCCTCTTTCCACTTGCGGGGGAGGGAAGAAGGAGGAGAGATGGGCGGGTAGCTTGGATACGCTGGAATGACAATGCATAGATGTAAACACATTCATAGTAGTCGTCAGCTGTGATATAAGGCCGAGCAGAGCAAATGGAGGGTGGGAGGGAGAACAACGAACCACAATATCAACTGAAACTTTCTGTTGTACTATGCTTGTCACTTGTGCATCGATCTCATCCGATTTGGTGTACTTGAGTACCTGAGCTCTGAGATGATTTAGTTTAACCAAAATTTCCTCCTGTCTTGCTGCTAAAGACTGAAGAACTTGTGGAGAAACATCTGCCCAACCTTTACCTACACTATCTGTAAGCTTACTAACTTGAATGCCCGGAAGACTGTACATGCATGTAGGTAGGTCAATCCATGGGCTCAGGCTATAAACTGGGTTCAGTGTGTACATTCCAGTAGACATTTTGTCTCTTAATAGCGAATCATGCGATATTAGAGGATTAAAAGTTTGTAAACACGAATATTATATTAGAAAAATTTAAAATATTGGGTCCATCCTAGTGAACGATTTTTGGACCCCCCCCCCCTCCTATCAATTTTGTACATGGCCAAATTAGTATTTATTTAGAAGGGGCCGTATCATGAACATATGGTTCGAAAATAGTTACAAGGATTTATAATCTTCAGGCAGACAATTAATTAAAACATTTTACAGATTTAAGGACACTTTATGTTGCAGAAAAAAAAGACGTCGTGAAAATAAGGCATTTTTGTCGGCGACTAGTAAAATCAATAAATGTAAACTTGTTTAAAAACAATTTATCACTTTTTCAAATCACCAGTTACGTCTAAACTCGCCTAACCAGTAACCAAAGGCGTTAAAATTTGTTTGAATAAACCACACGTGTGTACAGCACGCCTATTGGACAAGGGGTTCATGACGTCACAGAGGAGAGGAAAGTTGAGAAGGAAATTTGGTTTGAACTTTTTTTTTTAAAAAGAACTTTGAATTCTGTGAACGGAAAGAGGTTTGACAATCTTGATGGAAAGGTTTCTTTTTAAAGATGTAATATGTACAAACTTTTAGGAGCAGTTTAATCTTGTGAAAAATTATAGAAAATTAAAACTAAGGTTTGGATTGATTCGTGATTGATCGATTGAATTGTAAATAAACGAAGACGATTAAAAACCGGTTTTAATGCCGGGCAAGCTGGTACTACACCGAAGAGTAAGACCGATAATACAGTGTAATGTAACAAATTGTTTGTGATAAACATCTGAAACATCTGTCTTTTCGACGACAAATATATTTATATTTGTAAAAAAACGTTATTTTTTCAAACTTAATTCTAACTTTTGGTTTCAATAATAAATATGGGTTTAAAAAATTTAATTAACAAAATGGTAAGTAATTTAAGCTTAAGTGAAGAAAGAGGTTATGCTAAAGAAATAAGGGAGAACTTCTTTTCAGAGAGGTAGTTTTCTAGAATGGTGGCACGTAAGACCCCTGTGAAAAAAGCGGCGGCCAATGGAAAACCTGCTGCCGAAATGAAAGTAGTGGATACGGTAACATTTACGAATATTATGGTAATTTCCTAGTGAACGATTTTTGGATCTCACAGAAAGAGTCTTAACGTAACCTAACCCGTGGCCGCAGCGCTCGGCCCAGAAAGTATCTCAACTAACCTAAACCGTGGCCTCAGCGCTCGGCCCAGAAAGAATCTTAACCTAACCTAACCCTAAATAATGCTAAATAAATACTAATTTGGTCATGTACAAAATTGATAGGAGGGGCGAGTGCTGGGGTGGGGGGTCCAAAAATCGTTCACTAGGACAGACCCCTTTTATTGAACAAAAAAAGGTATATTCCTACGCCCCATAATCGCATTTCAACTATAAAAAAATTAAAAAAGATAAAAATTAAAAATTAAAATCATACTTCTGATTCCAGGTGGGCGAGGTGGAGGAGGTGGAGATGGAGGAGGAGGAGATGGAGGAGATCATGTTGAGCAGTGATGATGAGAACGAGGATGATGACGTAGCTCTGATTGTTCTCAAGAGGCCGCCAGTTACTGAGAGAATAGTAGAGGAGGTCGAGGTAAATAATATACATTTTAATATTTTCTAAAGTGAATAGTCAACTTGAAATGAGCTGATCTTTACTTAAAACCATCAGCGATTAACAAAGATTTAGCAAATTTTTCTAGAAAACTTATCTACAAAAATAATATTCAAATGAGGGTTATCTGAAAATTGAAAACACTTACATAAGCTATATGTGTGAACTTCTCATCTTTCTCATTTGAGATCAGTCCTTTTAATTATAAAATAAATATATTATTTGAGATCAGTCCTTTTAATTATAGAATAAATATATTATTTGAGATCAGTCCTTTTAATTATAAAATGATATATTATTTTAAAACCTTGTAATAGTCAATCGATTATTTGAGATCAGTCCTTTTAATTATAAAATGATATATTATTTTAACACCTTGTAATAGTCAATCGATTATTTGAGATCAGTCCTTTTAATTATAAAATGATATATTATTTTAACACCTTGTAATAGTCAATCGATTATTTGAGATCAGTCCTTTTAATTATAAAATAAATATATTATTTTAAAATCTTGTAATAGTCAATCGATTATTTTCAAAGACATTAATAAAAGAAAACCAGCTAAGAACTATAATCATGCTTTTCTGCCAGATCAATTCATTTAAAATCTCATACAGGTATTTTTATATTTGTTTAAGTTTCCCTTAGATATTTGTGTGCGCGAAGATCTTTGAAAGTAATTGAGATTTTGTGGTCAAAAGGGTGGACAAACTTTCCAGTTGATCTCAAATTTTTCAATTTATCCCCCCCATCCTCCCCAGCAGCGAAAATCTTTCCCCGGTCGGGGGGGGGGGGGTATCCTAAAATTATATTTATTGCATTATTTTCTAATGTAAAGAGATCAGTATTCAAATTAATTGATCTCTTCTCAGATCACCGAAGATATTGAGATCACTGGAACAGGAACTGGCGGAGTTAATCTCAAAGAGAAATCTGGATTCGTCAAGGTAAAATTCGACAAATTTTAATTTTAAAAATAAAACAATTCTGTAAGTCATGTCGGAGGAAGAAACTTGGTTTTTTTTAAGGGACTTAAAGCGTAATTGTAAGGGACCCTCCATATAAAGATGGTAATGCCCTATAAACAATGGTACCATTCAGTGCTTAGGATCCAGATCCGCAAGATTTTGGCTTCCTGGATCCGGATCTAAAGGGTAAAATATTAACCAAAAACTGCAAAAAAAACTTTTTTACACCTACAACCCAAATCTGAACTTCTAAGAAAAAGAGAGATTATAAAAATTTCCTCATTTCTGAATGGTTCATCAAGTATTAGGATAAAAATAAGCGAAAAAAATAAAACAAAAATTTGAAAATTATTTTTTGTAAAAACAATTCAGTAAATCTTAAAGAAATGACTTGGGTCCGGATCCATTTTTTCCAGTGCGGATCTGGATCCGCATCAAAATTAAATGGATCCTAAGCATTGGTACCCTTAAAAGCAGTGCTTAGGATCTATTTAATTTTGATGCGGATCCGGATCCGCAAAAAAATGGATCTGGATCCAGGTTATTCCTTTAAAATTGATAGATTTTTTTTACAAAACAGAAGTTTCTAAGATTTTGTCTTTATTTTTCGCTTATTTTTATGCAAAACTTTATCAAGCATTCAGAAATCAGGAAATTTTTATAATCTTTTTTTTTCAAAAATCAGGAAATTTTTTTAATCTCTTTTTTTCAATAGTTTTGAGATTCAATTTTTTTTGCTGCAGTTTTTGTTTGATATTTTTCCCCTCGGATCCGGATCAGTGAATCCGCATATTTTTGCGGATCCGAATCCAGGAAGCCAAAATCTTGCGGATCTGCGGTTCCGGATCTTAGGCACTACTTAAAAGCTTTATTTGATATGACTTAAATATCAGTGTTTATACTTTTTAATTTTTTTTACATTGTTAAAATTTTCTTCACCATTTTTACAGATTTTCTATTTTCGATCAACTATTAAAATAACTCATTCAAACAAATATTTAATTTTTATTCTTAAATAAATAATATTTTAGGAATATATAGAATATGAAGGTCTAGCTGTGATCTTAAGTAAAGATTACGGTTTGATTCTATTCCATCCTAGTGTTTAATTTAATCATATTTTAGGAATATATAGAATCTGAAGGTCCAGCAATGATCTTAAGTAAAGATTACGGTCTGATTCTGTTCCATCCTAGTGTTTAATTTAATCATATTTTAGGAATATATAGAATCTGAAGGTCCAGCAATGATCTTAAGTAAAGATTACGGTCTGATTCTGTTCCATCCTAGTATAAATATAAACATATTTTAGGAATATATAGAATCTGAAGGTCTAGCCATGATCTTAAGTAAAGATTACGGTTTAGTGCTGTTCCATCTTTCCAGTGTTTGGTTGGAAAACGTTCAGAATGATCTTTCCACCACCAGGTATTCTATCTCACTAAACCGACCGACTGATTTACTGAGTGACTGATTAATTGATTGATTTACTGGTCAGCTGAGCCGGAGACATGCGCATTATTGAATTTAGTGCTAGCTGATTTTTCAGGGGTAAATTAATTCAAGAATTTTTTTTATGCACTAGGGACAAATATGTCAAGTTGGAGATAGTCGGATAGTTTTTAATCCTATCTCAAACATGTTTAACACGGGGGGGGGATTTCATAATAAAATAAACACCCCTTGAGATTTTTAACTTCATATGGGCAAATATTTACTTTTAAAATATTTAGGAAAAAGCTACCGACAGGAACAGAAATCAAGTTCTACGACAGAACATTCAAAGGAGAAGAGTACAAAGACCTCAGCGAAGACAAGGTTATATTTTCAAGTAATTTTATATAATCAGAAATATTCTCTCCTGGTCATAAGTTAGTTAAGTATTGAAATAAATTATCATAGTGTGTACTGTGTAACATTTTTATGTAAATGAAGATTTAATTGTTTTTCCTATCTTAGTATAGTATTTTGTTTAACCCCTTTCCCTGCTGGGATACTTGAAAACCAGGATATGCTGGGGGGGGGGTCAATTTGACCCCCCCTCTAAATCCCATGTTTGATGTTCAAATATGACAAATGATACATCATTGGAAAGCTCTTGTGCTCTACTTTTAGAATCTGCAAAAAAAAATTTGCAAATTTGCAAAAATTGAATTTTTTATCGCAAAATCCAGTTATANATACATGATACATGATACATGATACATGATACATGATACATGATACATGATACATGATACATGATACATGATACATGATACATGATACATGATACATGATACATGATACATGATACATGATACATGATACATGATACATGATACATGATACATGATACATGATACATGATACATGATACATGATACATGATACATGATACATGATACATGATACATGATACATGATACATGATACATGATACATGATACATGATACATGATACATGATACATGATACATGATACATGATACATGATACATGATACATGATACATGATACATGATACATGATACATGATACATGATACATGATACATGATACATGATACATGATACATGATACATGATACATGATACATGATACATGATACATGATACATGATACATGATACATGATACATGATACATGATACATGATACATGATACATGATACATGATACATGATACATGATACATGATACATGATACATGATACATGATACATGATACATGATACATGATCCTGTATCCATGATCCTGTATCCATGATCCATGATCTATGATCCATGATGCATGATCCATGATCCATGATATATGATATATGATTTACTCCAGGTTATTCATCAAGCAGTGGCCGTATGGACGGGAGAGACTAGACCCGACAACGTGTTGAAGAAGGTGGCCGACGAGGAGTACAAGAAGAAACTGGAGGAGCACAGGGCCACCTTTATGCTTTACCTCAGGGGGGAGGTCTTCCTCAGAGCTGCGTTTGTCCGGGTGAAGGGGGAGGTGGCCGGATACTTGAACGAGAACATGGGTATCATTGAGTACAAGGACGAGAAGGATAAGAAAATCAACATTTTCTTCCACACAGATGATGTCAGGATCTTCAAGAAAGAAGTCAAGGTGATAAGAAAATGTAAATTTTTATTATACTGACACTGCGTTGGCGCAATATAAACAATCATTCTGATTTTAATGTAAGAAGGATTTTAGATTTACTTTCAAATGAGCCTTCTTGTGTTATGTCCGATTCACTAGGCTACCCTAACCTTTGTTTGATAAAGATTGGATAACAAGTCCATATTTTACTATCCAAAAATTTCATGTTTTTTATTGTGGTTTCTCTTCAAAAGTGCAGACACAAACAAGAAAATTGTAAAAAATTTACCATTTTTTAGAAAGAAAAACGAAGATATCTTCCTCTTATTACTCAGATAACTGTGTTTAGTTTATATGAATCGGACATGCCACTCTATAAATTACATCTACAGTCCTAAGTCCCCACCCCCTTTAATCGTATATTCAACCCTTCTGACTAATTCAGGAGTACAGGAAACCAGCTAAGACGGCTCTTCCGGTAGGATGTATAGTATCTGTTGATGCAAGGAGGGTTCATGTTGTAGGAGTCAAAAATATCGAATATCAGGTCAGTAGGATGTATAGTATCTGTAGATGCAAGGAGGGTTCATGTTGTAGGAGTCAAGAATATCGAATATCAGGTCAGTAGAATACTGGGTAGGATGTAAAGTATAGATGCAAGGAGTCAATCTAATAGATATTTTCCTTCTATAAACCCCCAGATGGGTAAGCCCAGTAAGAGGCACCGTGCGAAGGGCAGAGCCCATAGGCAACATTTGGCAAGAGAGGTATTGAGGTCGTCCTCNTTGTAAGAGTCAAGAATATCGAATATCAGGTCAGTAGAATATTGGGTTGGGTAGTATGTATAGTATAGATGCAAGGAGGGTTCATGTTGTATGAGTCAAAAATATCGAATATCAGGTCAGTAGAATACTGGGTAGGATGTATAGTATAGATGCAAGGAGGGTTCATGTTGTATAAGTCAAGAATATCGAATATCAGGTCTGTAGAATACTGGGTAGTATGTATAGTATAGGAGGGTTCATATTGTAGGAGTCAAGAATATCGAATATCAGGTCAGTAGAATATTGGGTAGTATGTATAGTTTCTGTAGATGCAAGGAGGGTTCATGTTGTATAAGTCAAGAATATCGAATATCAGTTCAGTAGAATACTGGGTAGTATGTATGGTATAGATGCAAGGAGGGTTCATGTTGTTGGAGTCAAGAATATCGAATATCAGGTTCGTAGAATACAAATAAGACATCAGAATGCAAGAGCCGAAAAATAGATTAAGATTGTAAAAGAAACTAGTTCCTCTGGGTCAATTTTTAAATATATTTGTAATATATTCAATTAAAGGAGAATTCATTGAAAACATTTTTCGGCGAAAAAAAAACTAATTTAGTTCAATGAAAATGTGATATTTGAAACTGAATCAGGGTCAATTTTATCTTTCCTGTAACTTAAAACTAACACATCCACGTTTTAATGTAAAGGAAAACTTTCTGAGCTAGGCTTTCCTAGTAACAACTTTAGCTGGTAAACGTTGTTCTTCAAGCTGTCATTTTTCTTTGTAACTCATGTTTTGCGGATTTGTGTTTTTAAATTTTCACATTTTAAAAATTAATAATTGTCGACATTTTTTTCTGGACATTTGTAATCTTTAACCATCCATAAACCTTCTCCGGGCTCATGTGAGTTGCCAACGTGTTTGGAGCCCGATCTGTTTTGACGTTTATAGGACACAGACAACAAACACACATCCATGCAAATTATGTTTTCAGGCTATTATAGTAGTTGCTGGAGCTTGGCCTAAGACCCCCCACCCTACCTTGATGCCCGGGGGCCAGGGTAGTATTGCCCCCAGTTACGAGATGCCCAAGGGGAATTTCACATTCTACTACATGGAACTAGCGCTGGAGGGAAAACTAACTAGAAAAGTACAAGAGTTCAAGGTAAACATTAAATTATTGAGCAATAAATCAATTATCTATCTTTCAGTAAATTAATCATCATTTTGCTAAAGGGAACTGTAAGTGACACTCCATTTCAAAGATGGCAATGGCAGATTTACAACGATACCATTAAAACCTTAATTTGAGCAGAAATGTGGAAGATATCGTCGTTTCTCTGACTCTAAAAGTGATATTTCTGTGAAATTTTTCATTGTTTTTTACATGCAAGAAATGTACAAGTGACCCGCAAATGAGACTAAACAAAATCTTGCATATCTAGTTCATAATTAATCCGACAAAGCTTTTAAGTGTTTCGTTGTAAAGCGGACATTCCCATCTTTGCATGGAGGGTCTTTCTAAATTACGCTTACAAAGTCCATTTAAGTCTAATCCTTTTTAGATCAATCATAAAATTATTCAACAGTTTTTAACTGTGCTTTTTCGTTTTCTGTTAATTATTTTCATTAGCAAATGTTAGATTGTGATTATTAAAAAGGGATTTTTGTTTTTATAAAGTGTAAGTTAAACCCTGAACAATCCCTTTAATTATATATGTTAGGATATCTTGAGTTGGTCGAGAGGACAAGTAAACTACGTACAGTCCCTTTAATTAGATATTTTTAGGATATCTTGAGTAGGTCTAGAGGACATGTCAACTACGTACAGTCCCTTTAATTAAATATGTTTAGGATATCTTGAGTAGGTCGAGAGGACAAGTCAACAACGTACAGTCCCTTTATTAGATATGTTTAGGATATCTTGAGTAGGTCGAGAGGACAAGTCAGCTACGTACATTCCCTTTAATTATATATGTTAGGATATCTTGAGTTGATCGAGAGGACAAGTAAACTACGTACAGTCCCTTTAATTAAATATGTTTAGGATATCTTGAGTAGGTCGAGAGGACAAGTAAACTACGTACAGTCCCTTTAATTGAATAGGTTTAGGATATCTTGAGTAGGTCGAGAGGACAGGTCAACTACGTACAGACAGTCCCTTTAATTAGATATGTTTAGGATATCTTGAGTAGGTCGAGAGGACAAGTCAACTATGTACAGTCCCTTTAATTGAATATGTTTAGGATATCTTGAGTAGGTCGAGAGGACAGGTAAACTACGACTGGGCTAACGTACAGTACATACAGAGCAAAGAACAGTTCAATGACTGGAAACGAGAGTACGGCGGAGGTAATACTTAATTATCAATTTTATTTGGACTTTAGTCATAATTTCTAGTGACTTCGTTTATAGAGAGGCCATGCCCGATTCACAAGGTGTCCGTAAAAGCTTTGATCAAGAATGCACGAAATGTTCATAATTTTCTTTTTCAAATAGTTTGTCTAAAATGTGACTTTCAATTTTTTCTCATCTGAAACAAATAAAAACTTTTTGAGCTCGCAAAAATGACTATTTTTTGTATTGAATGTTGAATGTTCCTAAATAGTAGATCTATTTGACCTTTTCCTGGCATTAAAGTTTACTTCATTTTAGGTAACAAGAGATCATTTAACGGAAAGAGAGCTCAGGGGAAACGTGAAGTATTAGACACATTTAGAGCTGCGGAGGTAAATAAATTTATATTTTTACCGCCTTTTGACCAATATTACCCACCTATGCATATGATTCCCTCCACAGAGGGACGATAAGTAACTCAACGTCCCTTGGGACAATTGTGTTAGATAACAACCCGCTCGGCGAAGTTTTCTTGAAAAAAATCGCGCATTTTCATCTCAAAAATAAGTTAAATAATTATGATTCACCGATATCGATTGATTTTTAAGCAGTGATGTATATTTTTAACAATCACACTCCCCGGGGAGGGGAGGATTTTTTGAAGATCAGGGGGTGGGGTAGATGAAAAAATTCCTTTTCAAACCTTTTTTATACTTTTCGAACTTTTTACCCTAAACTTATTTATTTCCCCCTAAAAATCATCTAAAAATGATTTCCAAAAGGAGGGGGGGGGGGGTGAAAATTATTTTCAGGAAAATTATCACCCCTGTCTTAAAGGAATTGTAGTCGAAATTTAAAGTACCCCTCCATTGAAAGGGCTAAACGTCCGATATACTATATCCTTTAAACCGTTATATAAGTAGTAATGCGGAAGATATTTTCTATTTCAAAACGAGAAAATATACTTTCTTGTTTAAGGTTTATGCTCAATAATTACGAAAGTTAACTATAAATTATACAATTTTGAAAAATATATATATTAATAGAAAAAAAGGGTTTTTTTCCATTTTAATTAATTTTTGCACAGACAAAACTAAAATGGATCTTCCGGGATCGCATGAGATTAAATTTTACATACTTCTAGAAAATACTGAATTTCTTTCTCTTTTATTATGATTTTTTAGGCAACTGAGGAGGACATAAAGGATGAGAAGACGAAGGTTACACAGAAAACTATTGCGGTGAGTCCCCCCCCCCCATCTTTCCTAAATTATAGCGCTTACGATCCGGATCCGTTGCATGGATTCACATCAATTTGGCTTCCTGGATCCAGATTCGTTAGATATGAACGGATCCGCTGATCCAAAGGGTAAAATATGAAGCAAAACCTGTATGAAAAATTGGTTGCTCTCAAAAAACAAATCTCAACTTATATAAAGCGAGAGATTATTCAGAGATTATCCAAATTTTTCTAATCTCTTAATGGTTCATAAAGTTTAAGTGTAAAAGGAAGATTTTTTTTCATTCTAAGTTAGTAAAAAAAATCAGCAAAGTTTAAAGATAAGTATATGGGATCCGGATTTTTTTTTTCAATGTGGGTCCGGATCCATAATACTTTTAACTAGTCGATAAACAATCTACAAAAGTTTTTTTCACTGATTTTGGGCGTTATATTATTTTAAATCTTGTTTTTATTTTATTTGATTATGTTGTATTCCAGGAGCGGACCTGGTATACCCCAGAGGCCTGGGAGCACGGTGGTCTCCGGTTAAAGGAGGAGGTTAAGGATGAGACAGACGGGTCAACTCCCGCCAAGCGGGTCAAGAAGGAACTCAAGAAATAATAATATTTTTTTTTAAACATTGAATCCGGTGGCGAAGTTAACGTTATCATCGGAATATTTTGCCGCCGAATTCGTTTCCGACGGCGGAGTTATTAAGGAACAAAAACAGAGTTGGTGAAATTTAATCTTCTGCATAACAAAAGGCTGCCCCATCTGCACATTATTCTATGAACTGTCCGGAATAAATTTTTTTTCGTTTACATTGTAGTTCTTATTGTCGCAATTTTTGTAGTTCTGTTGACGCAAACCTGTTTTTTTTTCTAAGTTTAATTTAAACCTTAAATGATGTTTGTTCTTTTACTTGCGTCTATTGCATTTGAAAAGTTTGGAAAAAAGGAAAAGTTAAGTTTTTTGTCATATTCTCAATAAACATAAAACTTGTAATTTGTATGTTTTTTTTTGCGATTTTTATTTCATGTTTTTTTTCAGATTATTAATTAATGTTTTTATTTTGTTGACTGGTGCGAGGGTTAATTACTAGTTCGTGGCAAAATCTGAATCTAGAAAGGTATCGAGTATAGTATATCTACTTTCAGTTGATGTTTGAGGGTTTGCTTTTGTGATATGTTGGTACCTAGTTTATTGTACTTCATGGGTGTATATTTTTCAGAATTACAATTACAAGGCAGCCCCCCCCCCCCCCCACATTAAATATGCCATCTCCGCCATCCCAGCTTTATAAAGACGTTATGGTATCTATCATATAATAACTTATTCATGATATTTTTTGCTAGTAACATTAGCACATCTACCCGCTGAAATCAGCGACAGTTTTGAAATTCAAACAACATTTTAGTGTAGATAGCATTTGCAGCCTTGCGCTGTTTATGTAACTTATACATGTATATTATCCGACCCGCATTTGTATTCAGAAGATTTTTAGATAATACAGAGTGTCCCATATCATATTAGATTATATCCAAGCTTTAATCCCAAAATATGCACATAATAGTCAAAAAACCTAGTATTTCTTTTAAAACTTTTATAAGCTTTGTAAAGACGACTTTTATCGTAGAATTTTCAAAAAGTTCATATTTTGCATGCGTCCGAAAAAGGCTAAAAATGAAAAAGTAAACATTGTTGCTCTAATACATTTGAGGACCAAGTCATTTTCTTCCTGAAAATATAATATTTTTGTATATGAGATTGCAGTTTTCATGAGTGCACCGAGGTTGAACATCCCATGGTAATAAATGCGGTTTCTCGCAATTTACTCTTTATTCAGATATATACTCGCTGACAATAATCTACTCAAACAAATATTTGAAACACGTCAAGATAAAAATCATTGCTTAAATAAAATCTCGCATTTTGGTGTGCGATTCAGTAAAAGAATATGCTATAATCCAAAAAAGGGTTAATTTGTTTTAAAATTAATAAAAATTTATATTTTAAAAATTTCAAATTTTAAATAAAACCAGTTGCCTGACTGACGCAGCCTAAAAGAAAAAAAAATATTTTCAGACAAAATAATTGCCTTTACAATTATTAAGACATTTTGCCGCAGGCCAATGGGTGCGGGTCGGACGACATAGGGGTAAGTGTATGCCGAAAACACGTTTTGTGACGTCATCTGCGGGTCGGATGTCAAACGGGGGCGAGTTGCCTTCCTCCCCTCTTCCGACACCAGAAATTGCACGAACACACTAAATTTTATTGATAAAAATAATTTAATGCAAATATAAGAACGAGGTTACTTTTTTGTGGAAGCTTGAACATTTAGGGGCGTATAAAGGGGTCAGGGTCTCCCCTAGACCTGTGAAGGGGAGCGTAGCCCCCCCCCCCCCTAGAACTCAGAGCTATCACACTTCAAATCTTAAATTGAAAAGTGAAGAACATAAAAAATAGTTGGGTGTTCAGAATTTTTTTTTTTCTGCTATAATTTAGTTAAAAGGAGAGATAAAGTAGTACTTTTAAGGTAATGGAAGCTGTTTGTGTACATTTAAAGTAAAGTAACATACTTATGTCTGATCAATAAGTGAAATGTTTTGAATTTACAACTTTACCCCCCCCCCCCCCGTAGGAGTTTCTTGGGATGGATTATAGGGGATCGAAAAAAAAATTTGCTTCGTGCAAATTTGACCCCCCTAGATTTTTTTATGTTAACATTTTATCTTAATGTTAAATTTAACAAAATGTTCGTTCGAACCATGACAGGAATTATAAAAAGTAAGTTGTGATCCGTGCCCATGACAAACTAAAATACATGAGAAAAGTTTGTCATGAGCATAAGTGCGATCGACACTACATCATCAGACATAGTTCGGTTGATAAGTAAAACTTGAGTCCAAACCTTAATCTAGAATAATTTTAATATTGCGCGGTCTTCGCGCATTTCATGTGGGGATTTTCTCCGGATAATTTTAGCAGCTTTATGTTTGGATTTCTTTGTGCTTTTGTTTGATATCTAGTACAAGTTTTTCATTTAAATCATCATATAATTTAATTTATAAACATAGGTATATTTTCCAAGATAAATGGCTGAATCTGGTGGTGTATCCGACGACAGTAAAGAAAAGGCCGAACAGTTCAAGAATGACGCGAACGAGCAGTTTAAAGCTGAACATTATGGTCAAGCGATAGAACTGTACACCAAGGTTAGAAATTATGAAACATTTTTGGATTGGGGATATAATTAAAAGCGATCGCTACATCAAGAGCGGTTTTGGACGGTCAGACTCGAATATTTAAACCGGGGCTCGCGAACTTGTGAACATCTCAGATTTGCTAAAAATGGATTATTTTAATTTCTATTTTGATTTCTTGTTAAAATCTTTATTGTTGTTTTTCTAACATAATGTAGTCGACTTGTTGGCATTCAAGTTAGAGACCTTCCCGTGAGATGAAATGAAGGGGTATGTCCGAGTCCCAACGGTAACCTCCAAATCACTATCTGAGGAATTTATGTTGTATAACTTGATGAATTCTGACATTTTCCTTCATTGTTTATGCTGCTCAAACCGGAAGTTACTGTTGGTATATTCCTAGAGAACGATTTTTGGACCCTTTTTTACATTGTAAGTNGCCGCAGCGCTCGGCCCCCTAGCCTGTCTTAGCCGCAGCGCTCGGCCCAGAAAGTGTCTTAACTATCCTAACCCGTGGCCGCAGCGCTCGGCCCCATAGCACATCCTAGCCGCTGCGCTCGGCGCAGAAAGTGTCTTAACCTAACCTAACCCTAAATAACAAAAAAATAAATAATAATAAATTTGCTGAAAAATAAATGGTCATGTACAATAATACAAAATAAATATTTTTTTTGTTGAAAATAATTTAAATCTTGGTCATGAACTTAAGTGAAGGAGGGGGGGGGGGGTCCAAAATTCGTTCTCTAGGACAGACCCCACAATTGAAAACGATCAACTTTTTAGTTATAAAACGTTTTTTCATTTTAGATCGGATACATAAGTTGAAACAGTACCGTTGTGAATTGAACATATCACTTTATATATAGAGGCTCATTTAAAATTACTTCTACACTTCCAGTCAACTGACGCGGCCCGCCCTACCATATGATTATACAATATACATGCTTTGCAGACGGTACTCCATTTCTTATTCAAATAAAGTACGGTCTGCAATTTTGTTTCTTGGTTCCAATTGTAAATATTATCATGTTCAGACTAAAATTCTTGACCTATCCCTAAAGATATAATAGTATTGATAACTTGGTCTCAAAACTGAGCTGAATCTCAGAAACTTTTCAAAAATTCTCTTTTTATAGATATATGCAAAGATTTTCAACAGTATTTTCAGGATTTAGAAAAGTTTGGTGATGGAAAAGCTTAAACATAGATTTTTATAGGCAATTGAGTTGAACCCTAATAATGCCGTATTCTATGCTAACCGTTCTATCTCCTATCTTCGAACAGAATGTTTTGGATACGCTCTCACAGACGCGTCCAAAGCTATCGAGGTTGACAAGAATTATTTGAAAGGGTATTATCGGAGAGCAAGTGCTTACATGTCGTTAGGTAAATATCAAAGAGACAAATTAAAAAATTTGATGTTTAAATGTTGATATGTCGATTGAAAATATAAGTTATTAAACTTTTTATTTCTAAGAATTTGCTTAAATTTAAAGAACTTGGCTTTGCGCCCATCTTCTTTTTCAACTTTTAATTGTGGCTTTATCTGTTAGCATCTTCTCTTTGTACAGTATAAAATAAAAAAAAGTTTGCGGATTTCAAAATATTTTTTCACGTAATTTGAAAATTTTACAAAAATAAATAATAAGTTTATTTTTTTATTTTTATCGTTTATGAATCTTCACTGGGGTCACATGAGGTCCCACACAAAATTTGGGCCCGATCGGTTCAGCCGTTTTGACGTTTATTGGATACAAACAAACAAACAGACAGACAAGCCAAATTTACTTATAGATTAAATTAAAGGAATTTTGATGTTTAGGAAAATACAAACTGGCTCTTAAAGATTACGAAGGTATGTTTTTTTTTATTTCTGATAACTTCTCTGTTTTTTCCTTTGTGTTTATTTTGTTTCTCACGTGGGTATATTTTTCTAGGAAAATCTCTGGGGAAGGGGGAGATTTTTAAATTAAATTTGTTTTTACTCAACCATCAATTTTGGTCTGGGGAACCCTTGGTATATAGTCCTAATCAGGAAGACCAGAAATTAATTTAAAATTCATTAGACGACTTTACAATCTAATTTCACAAATATTATTGATGAAACGATAATCAATAAATAGCCAAAGTCATGCTAATTCCTAAATGTGGGCTGCCTTTTTTTTGAGCATTTAAAATTGCAAGATATATATGTGATGTCGTCTGATTAACTGTCACTTAATTCCGGGTCCTATGATTTAAGTTAAATTTCCGGTACCTCCCTGTAACTGTTAATAATGTGAACAATCATTGTTAATGGTTCTCATATATAAAATATTATATTTATTAATGTCGATGTTAAAACCTGTATTTATTTTTATAGGAATATACAAGCATAGACCTACAGATAAAGATGCAAAGTTAAAGTTTACAGAATGTAAGAAAATTGTTCAACAGATGGCTTTCCAGGTATACATTATTATTATTATTAACAGGACTTAAGCTTGCAAAGTATTTAATCAAAGATTTTCTCAACAAATGAATAGAATTACTTTAAGGCTTATTCTTCAACAGAGTAAAAATGCTAGAATTCTTGTTTGAATTTTTTTGTTTTATAATTTTTGATAAGTTGCTATTTTTTTGTATTAAGGCTGATTAATATTATTTTTCATATCCTTGCGAATAAAATATTTTTTTTCTTTTTAAACCAATTTTCTGGTAAAAATGTGATGGATTATCTAGAAAGCGATAGCTGTTGAGGAGAACAAGGTATCTGTTGCGGATAGTATAGATGTTGAGAGTATGCAGGTGGAAGACAAGTATGATGGTCCTAAGCTACAAGATGGCAAGGTTACTCTACAGTTTATGCAGGTCAATAATAATAATATTTTAGATCCCTTCCCCACTTCTATAATAACTAACAATAGAATTTAAGTAAATTTTAGATTTTGGGAAAAGAATTTTTTTTTACATGCGTACTATGTACACTAATAAAAACGTTAATTATCTATCTTTAAAAATTAAGTTTCCCCTATCGGAGAAATTTTATAAATAAAAGAAGGCATTGTTGAAAAATCTTAACTGAGATTTTTTAGGATTTGATGGAGTGCTACAAGAACCAAGGAAAACTACACAGAAAATACGCGTTCCAAATCCTACTGGACATCAACCAGTATTTCAGTAGTCAACCTACCTTAGTAGATATTTCAGTTCCTGACGGTACAGTACATATTATTTAAGTTTCTGACGGTACTGTACATGACATTTTAGTTCCTGATAGTACAAGACATACAATTTCAGTTCCTGACGGTACAGTACATAAACTTTTAGTTCCTGACTGTACAGTACATAATGATATAGTTTCTGACGATACAGTTCACGATATTTCAGTTCCTGACGGTACAGAACATAATATTTCAGTCTTGACGATACAGTACATAACATTTTAGTTAATGATGGTACAGTACATACAATTTTAGTTAATTACGGTATAGTACAAAATATGTCAGTTAATTACGGTACAGTACATAATATTTTAGCTCCTAATGAAATTATGTACTCTAGATGGTAAGTTTACCGTATGCGGAGATATTCACGGTCAGTTCTTTGATCTGCTAAATATATTCAAGCTTAATGGACTTCCGGGACATGACAATCCTTACCTTTTCAACGGTGACTTTGTAGACAGGTAGGCATTCATCTAAATGTTTACAGAAGTCGTAGACATTTTCAGTTGTTTTTGAAGCCATTTTTTTAGTTGTCTTTCTTAGTTTTATTTTGATAAATTGTGATAAAAATATTTCATATTTCATATTTTTAGATATAATTTTTAATTGTATTCCATTATCTTTTTTTTCGATTCTTCCAAGAGGCTAATTTTTCCGGGATTCTCAACATTTTAGCATGTTCGAAATTATTTTTTTATGCATTGATGGAATAAAAAAGCTTTTAAAGTTTAAGTTTCATTAATCTAAACATTAAAATATTATTAAAATCCCTTTTTGTAACAATTATTAATAGAAATTCCCATTAACCTTACTTTATTGCAGAGGATCGTTCAGTGTCGAGTGTATTTTTGTCCTTTTCGGGTTCAAACTCCTTTATCCAAACCATTTCTTTATGTCTAGAGGAAACCATGAAAGGTTAGTTAACAAGTTTATTTAAAATAAATCTTGCCCTGTGCGTTTTACAAGAAAATTATTTAAGGGGACTAGGGACTTATTTTAAGTGCTCGTTTTAAGAGATACATAGCCGATGCGTAACGGGTTTTAAGTTAATATCTATAACTGAGAAAACTTTAAATAATTTATTATTTTTTATCTAAAAAATAAATCAATTTTAATTTCGGTTTACATTTCAAAATGACTTCTGGATTTATGTGGCAGAGACAGCTGAGGACAAATATTTTGAAAACAACAACTTCCCTCTCATAGCAAATGATGTTTTAAAGGGTACCGTTCTGATTTGGACACCCATGTAAATAACGTGTTTCCCAAACCAGATATGAGGAATTGATTGAGTGGTTGATGGGTTTGTTGACTGATTAATGGATTAATTGGTTGGTTGGGTAATTGAATATTGATTGATAAATTGATTGACCAATTGATTGACCAATTGATTGACCAATTGATTGACCAATTGATTGACTGAATGATTGACCAATTGATTGATTGGTTGGTTGGTTCGTTGGTTGATTGATTAATTGATTGATTTATTTGTGTTAAGTGAAAACATGAACAAGATGTACGGGTTCGAGGGTGAGGTGAAGGCCAAGTACTCGGCCAACATGTGTGATCTCTTTACCGAGGTTTATAACTGGTTGCCTCTCTGTCATTGCATCAATAAAAGGGTAAGGGTCTGTCTTTCCTTCTAGATAACCAGGGGTATATATTTATGTTTTGGTACATTTGGAATTCTTTGGATATCATCTGGGAAAATAAAAATCAGAATTAAAATTTTTTCCTCTAATTAAAGGGACTGTAAAGGAAAAATGAAAGGGGGTATAGGCTGAAAGCTAATCACTGTAGCTCTCGATCGCGACCCATGAAAGTTATATCTGATGTTCCCATCTCGAGGATTTACAACTTTGTCAAATTTATACAAAAATTAATATATTTACAATTTTGTATAAACGTAGTGGGTTTAAAAAGATCAAATTCAGCAAATATGCAACCAATCTGAAAACGATGATATCCCAGAGAAAGCTATTTGTAACTTAGGTTTACTCCAATTCTTGTTATTTCTATTTTTTATAGATTTAATTCATAATATTATTTATACGTCCGTATTGCTTGACCAGAAATTCCACCAATGGCAGTGTAGTAAAGTGGTCAAGTGATACAAGCGGAGACACGTGACCAGTATACTGCTCTACCATTGGTGATAGTTCTGGTCAAGTGATTTAAGTTTTAAATTTTCTAAATTTTACATATATGAACTTTCGTATAGTTTTAACACAGTTTTATATCAATTTCTCTAGACAGGAACATCAGATAAAGCTTTCATGGGTCACGATCAAGAGCTAAAGTGATTAGCTTTCAGCCTATACCCCCTTTCATTTTTCCTATACAGTCCCTTTAATATGTGTAAAGTTTTTGTCTAAAATAGATCATTATTTATCATACTTTAGGTGGCAATGTGATTTTAAAGGGAGTGTTCGCGAAAAATGAAAGGGCGTATAGGCTCAATGCGATAAAAAAGCGCTTTTGATCGCTACTAATCTTACTTCTATCTGTTGCGTCTATATGGAGAAAATTGTTAAAAACGACTCACACCGAAGAACGTAGTGTTCATACAAATTAAGAAAGATGCAACATTCAACTCGGATCGTAAAAAAATCTATTTAATTCCCAACAAATTATCCAGATATTACAAACAATAGTCATCGATTATTTTGATATTTCATAATATTTTGTATTTTTCATGATTTGAGAGTTACATTTTTTCCTGTTTCGAGGATTTTTGATAATGAAGACGACATTTTCATATTTTCCAGGAATGTTCGAAAATCCAGCGCCAGCGAAAATTAATCTAAAAAAACAAAATCAAAAATATTATGAAATATTAACTATATATGAATGCGTCGAAAAATATCCGATTACTATTGTTTGTAATATCTGAATGATTTGTTTGGAATTAAATTGATTTGTTTACGATCCGAGTTGAATGTTGCATCTTTCCGAATTTGTATGGGCGCTGCGTTCTTCCGTGTGAGTCGTTTCTAACAATTTTCTCCTTATAGACGCAACAGATAGAAGTAAGATTAGTATCGATCAAAAGCGCTTTTTTATCGCATTAAGCCTATACCCCCTTTCATTTTTTGCGAACACTCCCTTTAAGGAAATTATTCTTGACGTCATGACGTCATTGGTGTCAAGTGTGACACTGTTCCAACTCGTGTTTAGTGTCGAGAACATTTAATAAAATAGTATTATGAAAAGAAAAGACACTTAAAACTGCAATAATTTCTCTGAACAAAGCACTTGTGTCTAAGACACTGACGCTGTACTAAATGTTTGTTTATTCTCCAGTGCCACCTACTGTCATTGATAAATTCATTTGGGGGTCTGTAATTTCTTGTAACAATCACACGGTGTTCATTAAGAACAAAAAAGTTTAACTTGGTATTTCGGAGAAAATTCCTCATGCGTGAGGGTGATTGGAAACAATTTTTCGTCAAATCATATCACTCCGTCCTGGTGAGATATTGAGGATTTTATAAGACACACCCAGTACACTTAGAGACACATTTTACATCCTTAATAACTTTTTTCTGTTAAAGTTATTCCGTTTATTTCTTTTCCCAGACCTTTCTGTAAAATGTGTCTCCAGCTGTACAGGGTGTGTCTTTAAGAAAACCCCAATATCTCACCAGGACGGAGTGATATGATTTGACGGAAGCTTGTTTCCAATCGCCCACATGCATGAGAACTAGGAATAAGTTGAATTTGCTCCGTAATACCAAGTTAAACTTTTTTGCTCTTTAGGAACACTGTGATCATTCCCCTTCTTGAATTTGTTCGGTTAAATAGACGGTATGATTTGATGATAAAAGGACTTTTTATGGGAAAAGATATAAATTAAATGATAGATGGACTTTATTATGGGAAAAATATCATTAAGATAGGGAAACATTTTTATTTCAAAATCATTAATAACGTGTATACTTCTGATAAAATTTAGAAACGTAAGGCGCTAATTTCATCTCGCATTTCTGAACTTAATGCTTTTTTTCAAGGAATTACAGTTGGTCTTATAAATAATTGTAAATTCGATATATCAACTGCAAAAATGATTGACACCCTTTAAGGATAAAACGACCCTATTAGTCATGTACTGTGTTTATCACAGGTTCTAGTCATGCACGGAGGATTGTTCAGTAAGGACGACATTAAGCTGGATGATATAAGAGCTACAGAGAGGTATTATACTGATGAAATTAAATACGTTTTCTTCCATACCTTCATGTCAATTAAACACAACCGAACATTCACAAAGTTTCTCTGATATTTATAAAACATAGATTTTTCAGTTATCAATTAAAGTGAAAAATATATGAATTATGGAGACTGGGTCATAGTTTTCTGAATTTGCTGAATAGGTTTGTCATCGAGGTTTAATATAATTGTTTTTGTTAAGCCGATGTACGGCAGATCTCCCAGTAAACGTGGTGTGGGATGTCAGTTCGGTCCAGACGTGACTCGTAGATTTCTAGAGAACAATAATCTGGATTATATCATCAGATCTCATGAAGTCAAGGTAAGTAATAAATTATATAAAGATTATGGAACTAGAAAGAAATTGATCATTGTTAAGTGTTGAATTTTTATCCATAATATTCATTATTCATCCGTCAATTGAAAAAAATTATTAAATTTTCGATTTTCGTGTGATTTGCTTTCTATCCTTATTTTCTTAATTTGATTGATTTTTGGATTGCAAGGCCTTGGTTTATTTTTTAGTAAGATTTTTCTTTAATATTGTGTAATACTTGGAATTTGGACATCTTATTTCCCTTTTTTCCCTTAAATATATTAATTTGTAGTACAAATCAAGTTGCTTTCTCCTTATTTTGAATGATTGCGTTCTCCTTTTTTCTTAATGTCCTTTAATATTATAATTGATGTTTTTTCCCTTAATTTTACTTCTCCAGTTACTGTTTTCCTTTTTACCTTATCTAATGGCTCCTAAATTACCTTGTGTTTCTTATCTCATTTCTCCCTTTTCCTCATATTACTTATCTTTTGCTCCTTTTTATGGTGTTATTTATCTATTTACTTATGCTCCTTATCTAACTTATCTATTTTCCTTGCATTGCTTATTTAACCACATCTGTTTTTCTCTTTATCTTCTACTTTTTTCTTGTTTGACTTCTGCATGCAATCTACATCGTTTGCTTTCTAAGTTTCCCTCCCGTGAATTCAATTTATAGGGATCTGAGATTTCAAAGATGAACTATCAGTTCTGTCTTCCTTATAAACCTTATCTAATTTATCCTTTTTATTTGCGTTGCTTGAGTGAATTCTTGTTAATTTGTACGCCCTTATCTTAGATTTAAAGATTAACTTTCAGATCTGATATTTTCTATCTCGGAAGATATTGATGAATCTAATATTATTTTTACTCAGGATCTCGGCTACGAGGTGACCCATGACGGAAAGTGTATAACTGTATTCAGTGCACCCAACTACTGTGACACTATGGGGAACAAAGGAGCCTTTATTGTACTCAATGGGAAGGAAATGCTCCCAAAATATACCACTTATGAAGGTCATTATTTTATTTTAACAAGTTTTTAAAAAGTCTGATCATAATTTCCCAAAAATATTTCTTGTTTTAATTAGACAGATATTGAAAATTTTAAAGATGACATTTTTAACAATTTTATTTGCTATTTTAATATTTTTTTATTTCAGCTGTACCTCACCCTAATGTGAAACCAATGGCCTATGCAAACTCTCTTCTAAGTTTATTCGGTTGAGAACGTTCTCTTGTCTCTTGTTCAGATCAGGAGAAGGTTCTGTCGTCTCTTGTTCAGCTTAGGAGAAGGTTCTCAAATCTCTTGTCTCTTGTTCAACTCAGGATTAATCTACTTCCTGTTAAACCTATGTTTAACTCCATACATCTACTAATCTCTTACCTTCCCAGTTCATCAACTTCACTACAACCACAAGATAACCTCAACTATACTCTTAAGGATTTTATCTATTCTTTTAACCTACATCCAATAAGACTACATGGTTTCATTCACTAAACCTAGATGATATACTCCTAAACATGAGGTTACCTGCACTAAATACCTAAGGTTACCTCAACTAAACCTGCAGGCTTGTCTACAAGGTTCCATAACAAGTACCTACTCACAAAATGTATGACTTTAATATCACAGCATCTTAGCATAGCAAGCCACTAGAGTAATAGAGAAACATGTGGCCTTTAATTCAAATTTTTTTTGAGGTCGAGGGGTTAATGACTGATTATAGAATAATTATTTAGTAAATACTTTTGACAGTTTTTTTACCATGAAAAAAAGCATAATGAAGTATCTCGTAAATTGTTAACACAGTTTTCAATCTAGTGTCACTCAATTTATTTTACAATCCATTTATTATTTACGTCAAACGAAGCTTGACGTCAATTTGCAATAATGTCATAAAAAAGTAACTTGTATCAAAATTTGTCAAGCCGTCCAGTCCAGTTCCTTAAGTTTTCTTATTTTTATTATATTCACCAGCTTTTTTATTCTGTGCCATCTGAATCTTTTCTCATTACAGCTTTGCTGTACTTTTAGTTTATTATCATGTTTTCACTGAGTCTAGACACTTAGTTTTAACATTAGGCATTCTGGGTTTTATTAAAAACGAGTAAATTTTTAAGACTGAAATAAAATAAGTACATATGAAATAAGAAATATTGAAAGGGTGGGATGGGTTATCTAGTGAATCGTCAATATCTCGTCAGTTTTTATCATAAAATATTCAGTAATTATGACACTGTAGGAGTCTGTAGAAATAGGTTTAGTAATTTTTTAATAAAATTGCAAAGTAAAGTTTTTATTAACCATTTTAACTGCGTTCATGTGATATTATTATGTGAATATCTCTTTAATCTTCCAGAGCCAAGCTAAAAAAAAATCCCTTACAAAGGTTATAACCCAACATATTTTAACCTAACCTGAATAATAGATAGTAGTAATAAGTATTTATAATTATTTGATTTGTATACAAAATGTAAGAATGTGGTGAATAGGAAGCAAACTTGCATAAATTTCATTGTTTTTAATCTGAAGAAAAAAAAAGTTTCAAAATAAAACAAATTATTTATCATTGGGTTTCAGTTAGGGGAGGGTAGGAAGGCCAGCCACAATAATTTCCCGTCCGAGCCACATTCTCCTCATTTTCTCGTCCGAGCCACCTCGAAATCCTCGTCCTTTGGTTAATATGTGTTTTTAAGTTTCTAGTTCTGGAAGATAAAGCTATCTCTTAAAAATCAGGCCACGTTAGGGCATAAAATATGGATAGACTAAAGTATTGCAATGATAACATCATGTTGAAATCTTCAAAGCTGTGAGAATGACGTCAAACTTTATTTAGATGATACTTAAATCTCTTCTGCCTCCGTAATGACTAATCTTCATGATACTAAATAAATAACAAATTTTTGGCATACCTCTGCCTATATATTTCCCCATGGAACCACACGAAACAATCTATGGTTTTTGCTATAATTAACAAAAAAAAATTAAAGATTTATAAACTTGGAATATTTTGTGGCATTCTACACCTAGATTATCTGAAAATGCGCATATAAAAGGTGAATATTTTTCAGGACATTGCACTCAAAAACTTTACTTCTATTGAAAGTATTTTTTTACGATTTACAAAAATTGAATATTTTGTTTCTAATATGACCCGATTCTTTGAAAATTGTTTTATCTTGGAGAATTGAACACTATAAAAAGATAATATTCAAAGGACAAGGATTTCGAGGTGGCTCAGACGAGAAAATGAGTAACGTGTGGCTCGGACTAGACAATGTTGTGGTTGGCCTTCCTCCCCTCGTTAGGGCTGGGCAAAGTTTTGTTCAAAATTTCGAAACAGGTTTAAAAAAAATTAACTGAAGAGTTAGCTAACAATCAGCAAGAACACTTGATTTTTAAATTGTCAACAAAATGAATTAACCTTTTTGAAAAATAAATATTGGTTAAAAACCTTAACAAAAAAGCTAATTACGGTTAATTTCTTATTTTCTGATTAAAATTGCATGAATTTTTTTTTTAAATTAAATTATTTTATGCGTTTTGATGTTTTTAAATGTTGTCTTCTGTTTTTACAAACTATTAACATCATTAATACTGCAATAACTGGTAATTTAAAAAACGGAAAATGCTGTTTAAGAAGCTAATGTTCCGTTCATACTTTTAAAATTAAAGGCTAACTGAAATTTTTTGTTGGAACTAGGACTCGGCAAAGTTCTGTAATAAAACAGAGGTTTTCGAAATTTAACGGAAAAGTTCATTAACGAACAGCTTAAACAGTTAATTTTTAAATCTTTAACAATCCAGAGTAGTTGTTATTGAAAAAAAAATTAATGGTTCAAAACATTAATTAAAAAGCTAAAGACGAGAAATATCGTTATTTTCTGATTAAAATTTTGTTTCTACAAATGGAATGCTACAGGGTGTTTCTTTTTGTCTTTGATGACATAAACAGCATGACCAATTCTTGTGTTAGTTTTAGCAGGATCTACAACAATCATAAGGTGATCATTGGGGTGTGGAAGATACAAGGTTTGTAGATCATCAACTGCATCTGTGGCCTTGATGAAATGTTGTTGCAGCTCTCTGTCCCAAGCATATGGTTCTTTGGATCTCTTGTCAGCTACAAGTCTGTCAAATGGATGAAGGAGAAGGATTAGGTTTTTGGATGCTGGTAGCAATGTTTTGTATAGTCCCATCTAGCTTCTCATGTCTTTAACTATCTTGATGTTCTCTATTTTGCTGTTCTTAGGAGAATTCTTCCTGGGAGGAGATGGGGCTATGAATACTCCTTGTTGCTATTTCCATCTTAAGACATCTACTGACTGAAGAAAAATCTTTGTTTTTGAAGTTAAATTTTTATGTTGGCTTGTTCAAGCTTTTCCAGGACTTTCATGTAATTATCAGCCGTTTTCTCCGGGGTTTCTCCTCCTATGTATAAGTCATCTGCCATTCTTGCTGCTATTCCCATTTGAATTTCAGGTCCAATGATCTTGGAGAGGAGCTCATCCATTTCTTCTGACTGGCCAATAAGACCTTGACCGCTTCTTCTGAGAAATCTAAGTCCTCCAAATGGAGTGGATATTCCTAACCATTCTGCATCTACGAGAGATATGTGATTTTGAAAACCTTGAAACAAGTCCATTATTATAAGGTAGTTCCATTTGCCAAGTTGTGAAAAGATTGTTTTTAGTTTGGTGATAGGAGATGGGATGTTCTTTAGGTGTTTATTGAGTTTACCAAAGTTAACTACAAGTCTTTCATCCTTTGATGTGAGCCGAGCTGGGAACTTTAGAATGGGATACCATTAATCCCGACTGCTTAATCCGAATATCCAATCTAATCCACTTTTCAGGATGACAAGTACAAGAGTCTCGAGATTAAGAAAAAAGAGAGGATTTAGCATTAGTCTCAATATCCACCAGTTCCCAGCTCTAGTCTCAAGGTTTATTTTTTGCTCTTTGTTTTCATACTAGAAATGCCGGGGAAACCTTGGAAATTTGGATATCATTGGATTGTTGCATTCCAAGTACTCCAACTGAAGTGAAATCATCAAATACTTCTTGCATCTACTTTTGTAATCATAATTGATTGCATGCACTTTGTTGGCTTGAGGTCTGTTAGAATTAGCCTAGTTGAGTTGGCATTTGGGTTTTCCAAACTTCATATTGTATCCCTCAGATAAATCCTCATTAAAAACTTTGCTGTACTGTTTGTTAATTTTCATTATCCTGTCAATGACTTGAGAAGTTATATCAGTGGTGTTGATTTAAATTAGATGGATGTTGTCTGCTGGAGTGAGATATTTTGGTGGTGAGGGTTGAAATGTTGATGTTCCACCTATTTGTTGAGAGTTGGAGAGTTCAGTGGTGGTTCTTATTTGCATTCAATGTACATCTCGTTTTAGGTCAATTGGTAAGCTGGTTTAGTTGGGTAAGAATATCAAACCATTTTTTACCTTGCAGAGTTGAAGTTGTGGCTATGAGAGTGATTTGTTTTGGAACCATGGTTCTGCAAAAATAACAGTGCTCTCTGGATGAGGAACAGCTTGCTGTAGTCCCTGACCAAGCAAGAGGACCTGGATATGATTGTTTTGAATTTTAAGGTTGTTTGGCTGTGTGGGGAGTGAAAGCTGTTTGTTTGTTTCAGGAATTGTATACTTCTTTTTACTGTTACGGTTTTGTTTTCGAAGTCTTGGATTATTGAATATACTTTGATAAAATTGTTACCTGCTACAAATTCACAGTGGAGTTTTGTGACAATGGCTTGAAATCTGACCTGCCAGTTATATCTGTAGAGTGTGATATCAATTTCTCCTGCTGAAGGCATTTTAGTTTTACCATCTGCAAGATTAGATAACTGAGAGTAAACTTTTTGGTTTTATAACAAACCCATGGAATAAAACAATTGATAATTTTGCAACAGTGGCTCCAGAGTCCAGATCAAGATGATTGTTGTTTTTGTTTTCATCTTGAAGAGAGAAAATCTGGGTAGGGATGGGTTGGATGAAGCTTCAGGCTGGTTCATTCAAAACTATTAGAGTTTTGAGTGTATTGATGGACTGTAAACGACAGAATTTCAACCTGCTCTTGTTGATCCTCAGGTTCTGTTTCTTCATATCCAAAGTCAGCAGGCATGTCTTCTCCAGTGTCTTCATCAAGCTATACAGCATTTAACTGTGTGTCTGTTCATGAGACCAGTATATGCTTGTCTTTGTGAGATAGTGATGGACAGGTTGGTTGGCCAAGATAATGGCTGGTGAATACATGTCAGGGTAGTCTAGCAATTTGGCAAACACTACAAAAGGGTCATAGAGGTTGTTGGAATTTTTGGTATGGAGAAGCGATTGCCTTGGTTACATCTTGGGTTAGGAGGCTGCTGGGAGTTGAATCTTGGAGGTCTGTGGAAGAAAGTGTTAGGACTGCGGTTGTTATTAGTAAAGGATCGTGGTTGGAATTAGCGGTATTGTTGATAAGATGCCCTCATGTAGTTAGATGCAGACTCTTCTCTGAATGCTGCATATAATTATGGCGATTTAATTTCTTGTATGTATTGTTTTGCCTTGGTTAGGATATCTGTTTTGAAGTCCATCAGTCTTTTGTCTATCTGTGCTTATTTTGTATCCATAGTTTTCTTTGACATAGGCAGGAAGCTTAGGATGTATGAGTGTCAGGGCATTGAAGGATAGGAACTTCCTGGGTTGGGGATAACTTTTCATCTGTAGCCAGAGTCTATTGTTTCCAGAGTATGACATCTCCTTTCTTAGTCATGTTTTCCATAGCTTTTGTAAAATCCTATTGGTGGGTCTGTGCTGTAGGATCATACACAATATCCAGAATGTTGAGGAAGTGAATGCATTGTTGTTGTATGCCATAGTCTTCTCTTATCTTTTTGTACACCCATTGTAACCTAGTACTAATGCAGACAGTAGGGTTATAGTAGTCCATATGAACATATTTTTCTGCCAGGGTTATGAACTATCTCAGTTCTCTTCTGATTTTAGGGAGTTGTTCTTCTAGGTCTGGCGCTTTGAAACGAGTTATCCTTTCTTCATTAGTTTCTGCTACCGCTCATGTTGCATAGTGTCCACCAGGTAAAAAATTTTGGAACTTGTCTTCTATTTCCAGAATTGCAAACATCTGTAACTCCTACTGATGGGAGTTGGTTTGTGGGATAGATCTTGATGCTCAACATGTTAATGTTGATGGCGAATCAAATTGCAATAGATTGTGTACCATGAGCAGAAGTAAATCCATTTATAAAGTTTATATTTCACACTTCACTTAAGTTTTAAAAAACGAATTTTTATTAAAGGAATATTTATATTAAATCTTGTAGAGGAGTTATTCTCCAGGGTTGGCATGGTATCGCTGCCATCATATAAGTGTGGTAGCACTAATCTGTCCTAGTCCAAAGCCAGATCTAAAACATCAGATTGTTAAAATCATGGTACATGATTAAAAAATTAGTTAAGATTTTACCTTATCTGGAAATCTTGTTTTGTTACAATGCGTAATGCTTGAAAATTGACGTTATAAATTTGAGTAAAGGGTTTGAAATTGGGATATATTCCAATAATCAATATGAGCTGAAATCAAGATTCAGCAAAAGCCAATTGAGAATTATTATTAGTTTAAAGTTGACAGTTGATAAAATATTACCCATTTTAAATAAATGTATGCTGTAGTTTTGTTCTTTACAGTCTAGATTGAAATATTTTATTGTTAGAAATGACCCAAACTAAGTTTTGGAACTTAGACTTAAGAACTGACAATTTAAAATAACTTCATAATTTTTATTTTAGTTTGCTTGCTGAGAAGAGGAAACAAAAGTAATAGTTAAAAATGAATTTTCTATGATGAGTTCAATATTTAATCAATAATGTACTCCTCATAACAAATTTAGCTGAAAAATAGATTTAGAAAAAATAAAACCTAGTTTTAAAAACTGACTGTTCAAGTTGATTAATATGTATTTCTATGTCAATAATCATGCTGTAATATTATTTATTTCTCAGAAAATAATGTCATCCAATGGATTTATCAGCTTTGCTCTTGAGAAAAAGAAATCCATACCAGACTGGAGAAATATGAGTATTCAGGTCAAGGAAGATATTGGTTAAAATGAAATTAAGTGTAGGTTAAGAATATAACCAAAAATAGTTATTCAATCAATTTACCTGCTTTGTATGAATGTCACTCTTGTGAGCTTCTCCATTTCCCCATTATTATCTTCTGCTAGAAGTGCCTAGCTTAATACCCCCATTACATGGTTGGTACACATCATTCATTCTAAGTAGCAATAGTCTGTCTTTCATCATTTCCAAGGTAAAAGGTGTTTTTTTGATTCCTTAAAAGTTTTTAGTCATAGATGTTTTCTTGACTTTTCTTGATTTTGACTTTATTTATATCAAGCTTTTATGTAAGGCTTTTTATTGGTGAATCCTCCCACTAACATGTGGACCCATCATTCAAGCGAAGCCTTTTAAGCTTAGCAATGGGTTGTCTTTCATTATTATATTCAGAAAAAAATCCCAGTTGCAGAAGGAGAAACTTATAAATGAAATCCCCTAGAATGGTTGTAACATCCATTTATTCATACTATTCATTAACCTGCATGATGCATGTATTGTATATGTATATTATATATATTGGTATGTATGTCATAGCTTGTACATGTGTTTTTTTTACTCATGTAGGCTGCACAACAAGGATGAATATATATTGCAAGAGGGGGGGGGGGAGGCAACGAATATGTGACACATTGAGTCAACTTAATTAATGCTCAGGAGGTTGTTGATCTGTGTTCTCCAATTTGGAATGAGATGTCACATGACGAGAGGTCTAGGTAACAATATTTTTATAAGTATCAGAATATTAATATGTAGATACATTTTTTGTAACCTAGAGTTTAACATGCAGGCTGTTTTGTTATTTCTTATGCCTAGACTTCAAAAGGCCTTTTATTTTTTCAGATAGTTAAAACTTTGGACCTCACTAGTCTCCTGGAGTTTGTAATAACTATTGTAATAATAGAGATAAATGGTGCTAACTTTGCACCTATATTCTTTTAATCCATAAGGGGCATAAAAAAATTTCAAATTTTTTTTTTCTTGATCAGGGGCGTAGAAAGGGGGGTATTTGGCCCAAAACAGGTATTTATATATATAAATATTAAAATACCTGTTTTGGGCCAAATACCCCCCTTTCTACGCCCCTGATCAAGAAAAAAAAATTTGAAATTTTTTTATGCCCCTTATGGATTAAAAGAATATAGGTGCAAAGTTAGCACCATTTATCTCTATTATTACAAGAGTTATTACAAACTCCAGGAGACTAGTGAGGTCCTTTGTAATGCTTTAATTAATATTTGGAACAGGTAATATTTATGTTTATGTTATTAGATATAAGGGGCGGAAGAAGGAAGGAAAAACATCTTCAGGAAAAGACTGTTATGGTAGAGATTTGAAGGTTAAAATCTAGATTTATTATAATAAGTCTTGTTAAGAATTTACAGTGGTAAATGTGTTTTTCTTTTGGAAATGTTTATCAAAGATTTTGGGACATGGGAAATGTTAAATTTTCCCTCTTCCTAAAAGAATTTGACTTCTCTGAAACCATTTGGCTTTTGCACTATCAAATCAAATCAAATCATTTATTGGGCCACAAGTTAACAATATTTATATTAATAAAAATGACTAAACAATTATATATATATTTTGTGGCCGGGGAGCTGCAAGATAGCTCAGGCTGTTTTCACACGAGCTCCCCTGGTTCAGCATAATATAATGATTAGATTCAAACGTTGTGCAATGTGCCTTTATGGTGCACATAATTGGCGTGGCGTTGAGTGGTGGCGGTGGCGGTTGGAGAACAGGAGGCAGAAACATGGTTTCAATCTTTACAGTCAGAAATACAAAAAGTTTTAGGCTCAATAATGTAAAACATTGCTCTTGATCAAGAAATATTATTACTAAATTACATTATTACTAGACATGCACATTCAAGTTATTTTTATAAATAGATTTTGTTTCTAAAACTAACTCCCAAGTGCATTGATTTTATTCATTTAGGCTGTGAAAGCAGAGAATGAGAGAAAGAAGAATGATCCAGCCAACATGATGAAAACTATAAGGTTCTCTTCTCTTTTATTAATATGGTACAAACTTACAGGACTGAAGGAACTGTAGGTCCTGTATACGGATTTTTATTTAAAACATTTTTAGTTGTGATTAAGCCAAAAGATTGAAAGTTTCCTCTGAAATTTTTGTTTCCCTGCAGCCTCTACCATGTCAGGATAATTAATTCTATTTTCTACTTTTTTAATCATCTCACAGTTCCTTGCTTTTTAGTTCAAACCTCGGTTAATGATTTACCTTCAATTTCTTTTTGCAAAAATGTCCGGCTTCAATCAGGGGGGATGATAGTTCTCTACCTGTGTGCTCATTTAGCTGTACTATACACTTTCAACTGTTTACTATTATTGATATACTATAGGTTAGGCCAGAATCAACTTATAATAAACTAATATGTGGTACGCTCTCGGTATAGTTTATGACCTGAAAAAAGTAAAGGATTAGTGTACATCATCACTCTGTATACTACCTTGTTGGCTTCAATTCAACAAATCCAAGTCAAATATATTTTAGAGATTTGATGTATAGAGAGAGGGATCCTAGCTCAGCTATATTTACGATCATACACACAAACATCATGACAAAGGTTTTTTTAGAATCTCAGGGAAATAATTGATTTAAATAAGGACTGTGGCCAGGGAACTTGAAAGTACAACTAGACATTAATGACTGGCAAATATCATAACTTGCATTTTTTTTTTGGGGGGGGGGAGGTCTTAAGGCTTCTTTTCATATTTCATTGCTACGTTCCAAATACTAATGCTGAGTTGATGTTCAGACAGATTCTGGTATATATATTCCAGCTGAAATCTGTGTGGTAAAGTTCAGCCTCAAACAAGGAGTTATTGAGGTAATATATTTCGAAGAACTAGGACTTCTAAAGTACAAGATATATTCTTTTTTTAAATTTTCATACTAAATTTTTCTTCCCAAAGGACCGTCTCCAGGAGTTTGTAATAACTCTTGTAATAATAGAGATAAATGGTGCTAACTTTGCACCTATATTCTTTTAATCCGTCAGGGGCAGAAAAAATACAAATTTTTTATCTTCATCAGGGGTGAAGAAAGAGGGGGTGTTTGGTCCAAAACAGGTATTTATATATATAAATATTTTATTGCCGATGATTTATTATTGTTTTCAAGATTTCAGGCCCCACAGAATATTAGACCATGACAAAAAAGCCTAAAAAGGACAGATTCTAGGCGCCCCTCTTGATAAAAATGGTTCATTTGGATCTTTAAGCTATTGAAGACACTTCCTAAAGGAAATATTTTTATAATTTTACTTGCCTTTCTTTATTTAATTTTGCATTAATGACACTGATTCCTCTTCAATTTCAGGAGTCTGATGTGGATCAAATGGCCCCCCTGACTGTTGGCTTTTTAACCCCTGAACCATACAGGGCTCTTCCTGCAAGCTGAATCTGTCCTTTTTAGGCTTTTTTGTCATAGTCTAATATTCTGTAAGACCTGAAATCTTGAAAACAATGATGAAACATCGGCAATAAAATATTTATATATATATATAGACCTAAAATCTTGAAAACAATAATGATACATCGGCAATAAAATATTTATATACATAAATACCCCTAAAATCTTGAAAACAATAATGATACATCGGCAAAAAAATATTTATATATATAAATACCTGTTTTGGGCCAAATACCCCCCTTTCTACGCCCCTGATCAAGCAAAAAAAAATTTGAAATTTTTTTATGCCCCTTATGGATTAAAAGAATATAGGTGCAAAGTTAGCACCATTTATCTCTATTATTACAAGAGTTATTACAAACTCCAGGAGACTAGTGAGGTCCTTT